TCCTGGACATCAGAGACTACAACTTATTCACTGGTACATACTTGTGTCCACAGTAACCACTCTATACAATCTGTCTAGATTTGAGTACTTGAATGAGAAACATGGCCCTTGATCATGAGTTCCAATCTGCAGACCTCCCAATGCTATAGACTTCTAGTGCCTATAATAAAAGTCAATAACAGATACAAAAGGAAAGTGTCTTCTCATAACAGAAACCCTCATACATAATTTGCTAATGGTACTACGTATTTCCTAATGATAAAGACACTTTTATCTCATGTCAATTCACAAATGTTTGACAACCCAGGGAAGAATAGTCCCTTTCTCCCTCTCTTCTTAGTACACGTAGACAGCTTTTGGTATAATCAGGGTCAGGAAGACTTCAAAGTCTCTCCCACCATGGCTTGCTGAAACCTACTAAAACTGCACTTTTCTGATTGTAGGGATCTTTTAAAAGGGAAATTAATTACCCAAGGTGAGGTGGGGGAAGGATGTGTAAACAGTACAGTAAGTGCCCAGCAATGCCTATTTAGGTTTTTTTGTACCCACTACCTGTTTTTAAAATGCATTTTTCAGGAGTGTTAAAATGCCCATGAAATATTTTGATGAATGTGACAATTCTAACAACTGACTTTCAAATTCCAAGGTACTGAAAAAATTTGTGCCAGGTACTACATGGTACAGAATCCTGATAAGTCCTAATACAAATTAATTATTCTTTTAATATTTTTTACTATTTTTTATTAAAACCACCACAATTTGTAAAAGGCAATATTAGAAATAGTTTAAAGTATAATGGTTTGTTTACTAATAATAACACTCAGCACTTAAGATCATCAAGGGACCACATAACTGTATTTCTAATATTACCTTTTACAAATTGTGGTCACTTTAATAAAATAGTAAAAAATAGTAAAAGGAATAATTAATTTGTATCAGAACTTACTTATCAATACTAATAATATGCTGCAAATACAAGTTTTGCTTATTTTGAAAATGCTAATAACAACTTCTCTTGATTAGCAATGAAAATGCTGTTTAGCCGGGCACAGTGGCTCACCTCTGTAATCCCAGCACTTGGGAGGCTAAGGCGAGTGGATTGCCTAAAGTCACAGGTTTGAGACCAGCCTGAGCCAGAGCAAGACTCATCTCTAAACCTACCCGGGCTTGTGGTGGGCACCTGTAGTCCCAGCTACTTGGGAGGCTGAGGCAAGAGAATCACTTCAGCTCAGGAGTTTGACGTTGCTATGAGCTAGGACGCCATAGCACTCTACCAAGGGTGACAAAGTGAGACTCTGTCTCAAAAAAAAAAAAAAGAAAAGAAAAGAAAGAAAAAGAAAATATTGTTTAACTCACAAGTTTAAATGCTGAGTTTATATTAGGAACCAGCTATTAAATTTATTATTCATCATTCAATCTTAACATATTATCATAAAGTTAACTTAATATCTGTAGAGAATTATTTTCTTTGTGCAATAACTAGGACACCTTTATTCATAGTATACACTCGTTTACTACATATAATAAAATGTAACCAACCTAAACTTTAAAAAGCATTATTGACTACAAGAAATCTGTGGTAATTTTGCATCAGACTCACTCAGATACAAAATGTCCAAATTCCTTTCAGTGCATTAGGATACAACTGGACCCACTCTACTTTTGAGAGCTCATGATGAGTATATGCCTGCATTGCCCCAATAGTCTTTAGAATTTTAATTACTCTCCAGCCTTTATATTATAAAAGGATCATTCTTCATATTCTAAAGAAAGCATTTTCCCAAGAGTACAGAGTCAAATGGCCCAGCCAAACTGAGCAAATAATTGGTCCGTCTCCTCTCTTTAGAGAAGCTTTACAGAGTGGAGCGGCATTGGCCCATTCCTTTCTTACTGCAGGGAAAGAAGAGTTATTTTTCCAGAGTCTGTTTCTTTGAGGGTACAAACTAAAATACAACAGCACATTTTATTAAAATGAAAACTTTTAAAGTGCTAGTTTCACAAACTATTTTAACTATATATAAAACTGTAAAGATAAATAACCAATCCATGTATCCATCACTCTATTTAACAGATACTAACATATTTTCATATTTGCTTCAGCTTTTTCTTTAAAATAGAAAAAAAAAGGTTTTACAAAGAGCTGAAGGAGCTCTACTTAGAATTAGGAACTCTATTCCTAAAGTTAATAGATCTCATTTCCATGTGTGTTTTCATACATTCTTTTATGTATTTTCATTAGATATATATGTATCAATAAACATAGGCTATTATATTGTTTTAAAAGTGTACATAAATGTATCTTACTGTATGTGTCCTTTAGCAACTTGCTTTTTTCACTCAACATTACATACTTGAGATGGACATGTGTTGTAAGTATAGATCTTAATTCATTCATTTTTATGAGGGTATTCAATTGCATGAATAAACCAGTTTTCTATTCCCTACTAATCCCTATAATTGGATTGTTCTACTTTATTGCTATTTTTTAAAACTGCTATAATCATCCTTGTTACATGGTTGCTTGGGCAATCCCCGGAGTTTAGTTAAGATTTTGGCTCAACAAAAATTTAGGCTGTGGAAGAAAAGAACCCTGGAATGAATGTTAGCCCACCTAAATGCCAACATTAGATCTAAACCTTCCTAATAGGGAGGCATGTGAACTAACCTGTGTAACAACTCAGAAGACAAATATTTAAATAACATGTGGTAATTAAAAGATACAAGAGATGATCATTTTGTGGAATTAATGAGACTAAAGCTGATTTTCTCTCTGAGCATAATTCACTGGCAGCCAATTAAATCCCAAAGGCCCCAATCTTTTTCTCACAAAAGTTCAGAAAATTGTTCAGAAATATTTTTCTCAAATTTAAAAAAAGTATACAATAGCCCTCCAAAGTAGTCACTACCTCAACAAAGTCCCATCCTTTGGAAACCATTAGAATGGATCCAGGAATTACTGCTTTATGCCTAGGTTTTTCATGAAAAGGTGGATTAATAGTACTTTTTCCATTTAATCACATAAAAACTAAAATTAGGTCTCAGTGAAGTTCTCAGCATATCCTTTGCTTCTTTAGTAGTCAAAATGCCCAGAGTAATTTTTTTCAAATGTCAACCTTTTGGGAATGATAGTAAAAGGATTTTAAAAAACAAACAAAACCCAGACAAACTAAGTTCTAAAACACCGAATTTGAAGAGAACAATTCCAGTTCACATTGCATAAATCAATTTTAAAAATCAGTGACTTGTATACGCCACCCAAGGTTCCCCACCCCCATTATGTTTGGTACTTGATTTTTTTGATCATTATCTTTTCAAATTTTAATACTGTGAAACAGCTTTGAACTTTTCCTGTAATAACTAAGAACTTTAAATCTCCTAATACTAGTTACAGTTTAGGAACTAATAAATTCAAGGTAGATATGGATTCTATCAGCATCTTTTTCATAATAAAATGCCCTTATGGAATATCAGCTACTACGGACCAATTTGAAATCATATTTTATAATTGTTTTCATAAAATACTCAGTTCTCTTCCCTACCACTTAGGAAAAAAATTCAGTTTGGGTCAGGACATAGTGGAAGAAGAAATTAATAATTATAAAAACAGCTAATATGTAATGAATATTTACCATGGGCCAGGCACTGTAATAAATATGATAACACGAACTATTACATATAAAAGTATTATTTATCAGGAAAGCATTTTTATCCCTAATTTAGAGACAAGGGAGTTCAGGCAAAGAGATCAAATAACTTGCCCAAAGTCAAAGTTGTAAGCGGACATGTCTCCTCCAGGCATGTCCAGGTCTAACGCCTAAGATCGTAATCATTATGTTTGTGTTATGTTAAAATATTAAAATTTACTGCAAAAACAAATTTTTCACTGCTTTAAATTCTTTTTTTTTTCTTTTTTTTTTTTTTTGGCCAGGGCTGGGTTTGAACCCGCCACATATGGGTGCTAGCGCCCTACTCCTTTGAGCCACAGGCGCCGCCCCTAAATTCTTTCAGTACTTATTAAAGGCCAAGTGGTCACTCGAAATCATACATTTAAACGATACTGGGGGGAAATGTGTAAACAGGTTTGCTGAATTTTCATTCCTACTCAGAATAAACACACATCACACAATTTTATTCCTTACGAACATTTACAGCCACCAACAAATATAAAGGCAATGTAGTAAGAATCTTCATTTGGGTACGAGAGTTATTTGTGTCCGTCTCCATACTAAACGAAAAAGAAAATACTGTACTTGGATATGCTACTTCCTTTCTTCACCATCAAAGCCCTAAACAATAGCACGTAGGCTTCTACCTGCCTACGGTTATCGGTCTACGAAGTACCCCATTACTCCGAGGACCAATACTAGCGTCAGGACCATTTCCTTATGATTGCCCCTGTGTTATTTCCCTGACTCTACTTTTCAAAAGAACTTACAGTCTCTGATGGAGCACTTGACACGCTAAAGGACTTGGCGAAACCGCTAATTCTTAATATCCAAGTCATTTTCTTTTTTCCACAACCGCCTTTTCAAGCAACTAAAACCTTTGGTCCACTGTTGACTGCGATGTGCACCTGTGGCAAACCCGCCTGGGGCACTCACCAAGGTTCACCGCCAGGGACCGGGGTTTATCTGCTCAGCTCACAGTGTGGGCATTCAACAAATCCCCAAGAATGAATGGATGGAGAGCAGCGTGGGTGGAGGCGGGAAGAAGGGGCATGGAGGAGTTTCAGGAAGCTGAGACCACTGCAGCGGCGCCCCGTCTGGGCAGGGAGGGACGCTAGTGAGTGGGAGAACCTAAGACCGAGGCCAGGGGCGCCGTCGATCCGGCACAGAGCTGAGAAGATGCGGATGCCGTCTCCGCAGGCCCCCAAAGCGCGTTTCCAGGCTCCCGACCTGACGCCCAGCCTTGCTCTCAGATCCGGGCCTCCCGCACACAGTAGGACCCAGACGATCAGCCTTCCGAAGCAAAGAGCCAACCCCGGACCCGCAGTAGCTCACCTGACGCTCCACCGACAATACCGCGCTCTGCATCTGGCGCTAGCC